AAGCCCCCAATAAAATATTTTTTTTTTAAAAGAAGAAAGTGGATGGTGCCCAGCTATCAAAAGATATAGCATTTGGGGCCTTAAAGGCTTGAATTTAAACAAGCAGCCATCTAGCAAGGAAGAAAATAAGCCCTTATGAAAGCGTACTAGCCTGTGTGATCATGAGGTGTCGGCAGGATCAGGTATCAAAAGATCCAAAACCAACAATTATATCGATGTGAAAGAGGGGGGTTGGAGTGGAGACCCAAAGCCCATCTGAAGACAACTGGACACCCCCCACAGAAGGGTTACAGGGACAATTCAGCCAGGGTGTAGTATAGCACCAACTAAACACACATCATTACTCTAGTTCCTGAATGTTTTCTGCCCCCGCCCACTGTCATCACCCAGTTCTACCTTACAAATCTGGCTAGACTGGAGAACACACATTGGTACAGATAAGAGCTCTCAACACATGGAATTCAGGACAGATAAGCCCCCTTAGGAACAGTAGTGAGAGTAGCAATATCATGAAGGTAGGGGGATAATGGAGTGTGGGTGGGGAAGGGGGAGAAAGGAGGACCCCATCACAAGGTTGGATGTATAGACTCCCCCCAGGAGAACTAATAACAGAAATGTGGGTGAAGGGAGACAACGGACAGTGTAAGACATGAAATAATAATTTATCAAGGATTCACGAGGGTGAGAGGGTGGGGGCGGGAGGGGAAAGAAGAGGAGCTGATACCAAGGGATACAAGTAGAAAGAAAATATTTTGGAAATGTTGATGGCAACCTATGTACACGTGTGCTTAATACAATTGAATAATGGATTGTCATAAGATTTATAAGAGCCAACCAATAAATGCTTAATAATAAAAAGAAATGTTTCAACAAGCTGATGGATCACTCACTCATCTATGCCAGGAAATTTGGAAGGCAGCTATTTGACCAAATGGAAGAGGTCCACATTTGTGTCCATTCCAGGAAAAGCGACTCAACATACTGCTCATGCTATAGAATATTATTGATATCACATGCAAATTAAATTTTGCTGAAGATCATCTAACAACAGTTGCAACAATGCATTGACAGGGAACCGCCAGAAGTTCAGGCGAGATTCAGAAGAGCACGTGGAGCAAGGGATATAATTTCTGATATCAGAAATTCTCAAAGCAGAGAATACCAGAAAGGTGTTTACTTGTGTTATATTGACTGTGCAAAGGCCTGTGTGGACCATAATAAACTATTGATAACTTTGAAAAGAATGGGAATTCCAGAACACTTCATTGTACTCATGAAGAATTTTACACATGGATCGAGAAGCAGTTTTGTGAGCAGAACAAGAGAATATTTCATGGTTTAAAATCAGGAAAGATGTGTGTCAGGGTTGTGTCCTCTCACCATACTTGTTCGACCTGTAATCAGAGAAGTTCACTTATATGAAGAAGCATGTGACATCAGGATTGGAGGAAGGCTTATCAACAATCTGAGATATGCAGATGACACAACCTTGCTTGCTGAGTGAGGACTTGAAGCACTGATGACCAAGAATTGCAGGCTACACTATGGCTTATGACTCAATGTATAGAAGACAAAAATCTTCACAACTGGACCAATAGGTAACATCATGATGAAGTAAAGGTTGAAGTTGTCAAGGATTGTGTTGGGTTTTTTTTGAATCTACAATCAATGCTCATGGACGCCAGTCAAGAAATAAAAAAAAAAAAGTGTTGCATTAAGTAATCTGCTGCACAAGACCTCTTTGTAAATTTCTGGCAAGCAAGGATGTTACTTTGAGGACTAAGGTGCGCTTTATCCAGGCCATGGCCTCATATGCATGGAGATGATGGACAATGAATAAGGAAGGTCAAAGAAGAATCGATGCATTTTGAATTGTGGTGCCAGTGAATACTGAAAGTACCATGGACTGCTAAAATGACAAACAGATCTGTCTTGAAAAATATATGACCAGAGTGCTCCTTAGAGGCAAGAATGGCAAGACTTTGTCTTATAAACTTTGGACACATTGTCAGGAGAGACCAGTCCCTGGAGAAGGGCATCACGCTTGGCAGCTCAAAAGAGGAAGGTTCTCAAGATGGATTGATACCTTGGCTGCAATAATGGGTTCAGGCATAGGAATAATTGTAGGGATGACACGGGGCCATTGTGCCTAGGGTCGCTACAGGTCAGATCAGACTCAATGGGACCTAACAAGTGGATTCCCTGCTCTGCATGTCATCTGCATCAGTATTAACTTCATCTTTGAACTCTTCAACATTGGTTGAACTTTGCTTTGTTTTCATTAACTAATTTCCAGAAGTATGTTCAACTTAAGAAAAATTGGCCATTGTGTTTGAACAAGTATTTTATTTAGTCATGAATATCATCCTGTGAATTCTTAAACATTTAATACACTTCTTTCTCCTCAAGGACTGGTTACTTTCGGGGAGGGGGTGGGTGGGTGCTACCTTCTATCAAATGACAGACTATAGAATGAAAGCAGGTTGCAACTGTAAAGCATTACAAACATGTAATGCTGCTGCTGTTTAGCATTCCTCCACCACACATTAAGGTTGTTCGTTCATTTGATTATGGTTCTTGACCTTAATTATCAGTATTACCTCAGGTTTCTCAACATAAGCTGCAGTGACATCAGCTGTTTCATAAATACCTTCTCTAAGCACTTGTGCACTTTTCATGGGATAACATGAAATGATTACCACCCAACTCTGCCAATTGGGGTCTACTCTGAACCTATACCACCTTCGTTTTCCCCTGAGCTCTCATTGCTTTGAAGACTATTTGGAAGCTAGAAGATGCTAGGCCAGTTTCCTCTTACCAATTTTATCACTTAAATTTTTCTGCTAACTGCTCCCTCCCAACCCCCTTTAAACACATGACTTCACTAAAGTATGTGTATCCCATTCTTGTGCACATCTTGGGAAAATGTCACCACCTCACCACCAAGGCTGTGGACTCACCCAGGAGCTATAGTGGTAGACTTTATAGCTTTCACAAGTGACTTGTTACCACAACAGATGTCTGGAACCATCCAGACCACCTCCTGACTCAGTCAGTTGATTAGAACTAAGTAGAGCCTTTTGGTCTCAAAGACTTGGTTGAGACTTTTTCCCATTTCTGTACACCCACCTTCCCTTCTCCACTACTTCAAGAAGGTCTCTGAGCCGCAGTTCATTGCAACTATTGTTTATTAAAAAATATATGTCTCCTTGGAAGGAACACTGGTCAACCAACTAGTGTCATGCTTACTTTTAATCTTTGCTTTTCTTCCCTGGAAGGGGAAGATGGTTGAGCATCATTCAGAACATATCACTCAGTTAACATGATAGACATCAACAATCTTCACTCATCCCCACCTTACCAGATTCATCATCAGCCATCACACTTTATTCTTCATTGCCTTCAACCCAGTGTACTGCCCAGGTAAAGCTGCTGCCCTTTCTTTACCCTCTTCTGGGCCCCACACTGTAGAGTTAGCCTCAATATGCTGGTAGGATAACTGTTACACATATTTCCCCAATTTGGTTGGTAGTGTTTGAAGTGTGCGTCTTCCACATGGAACTGTGTGTACTGATCATAACACAGTGGGCCAGGAAACAATGGCCTCAACCCTAGGGCCAAGCGTCTCTATTTTCTTCTCCCCTGTGTCATCCCTCCAGCATGGAGGGGAGGGAGGCACATTGGCTTCAAAGGAGCATAGAATGTAGGGTAGGGCCTGAACCACACTTGCTATGGCCAGAGAAAAACTCCCCAACCACAATCACTGCTGTCACTCTAGGAAAAAAGCAACAATGTTTCACATCTCACCCCTAAGTGGATCTTAGCGCTACAGCTCAAATTTACAGCGTTAATGTCTACTTGGTTCTTGAAGAAACAGTAAGCTACCAGAATTTGGTGAGGGGGCTGGGGTAGGGCATATGAAGCAGCTGCAAAAAAAAAAAAAAAGCCCAAATCAAACTACTATTTGCATGGCTGGCCAAGCCTAGTGATTGTTCTATTGTCTCAGTACAGAACTGGAAAGAAAGCGACTCCCTTTCCCTGTCAGTGGGTCCCATAAAGGAACCTCAAATCCTTGGCAAGTATGCAAAGGGACGGCATTGAAATCCTCCTCCTCTCACTCCTTACCAGTCTATATTTTCTCATCTGGTGATTAGAAGGCCGAGCCTGAGTCACCGACTATCACAAGGCCTGGCTCCTTTAACATTATAAGCCTTTAGAACATTGTCAAATTGGAGTCTATGCATTCACTTAAATAGTCAAAGCAAAATGTGGAATAATGAAAAGGCTGACACAGTAGCACAACATGATTTTGGTTTAACAGCAGCTTAAAAATGAACAAAAAGGAAACTTCTCATGCAGACATATCAGGTAGCATAAAACAATAGGCAATTTAATATGGAGCATCATTAGCCATTCTCTCTCTTTCCAGACAGGACTGACTGCAGCTCAAGGGCAGCAGCAGCTTTAAGTCAAGGCTCTGGCCCTCTTTGCCCCAGGCAAAAGCTCTAACCCTCAGACCTCAAGCTGACCCCTCTCCTAGTTGGAATCTTACTTCCCAAGAGAATAACCAAATGCAAGTGCCCTTAGTACAGCACTACCATTTTCAATCTCTTCCCAACCAGCTGAGATATAAGATGCCATCTGATTGGAATATGAAAACTAGAACATTTCTCTAATAACATAGTACCATTGATGAAGTCTCCATAAATTTACTAGCCCAAATGTGTGTGAATATATATATATTATATGAGTGTATAATATATATATAATAATTTCTATATATTTATATAAATTACATATATATATACATATATATGTGTGTGTATGTATACACATACAAAATACTTTCGGTTGCCATTATGTTATACTGTTCAGAGCTGCAAGACAGCAATACAGAAATGTAGAAATTCCCCAGGAGCATCTGTCATGTTGTGCATGTAGCTCATTTCACAATCCATGTAGCTGTCCAGAGTCTGTCTTTCCATCAGTCCTCCTCTCTTCTCTTTGCTTCCGCTTGATTTTTAAGAAAACAATGATTCGGATGGGTTTGCACCTGTGCTAGTGCTTGGGAAAGGTCCATGCAGGAATGGGTACAGTCACATGATGAGTGAGATGGCATCACCCCCCCCCCCACAAAAAAAGAAGCTAAAAAAACAACAAAAAAACAAAACAAAAACAGGACTAGAAAACTCAATTTTTTGACATATCTAAAAAGGGGACAAGAACAGTAGTCATTTGTTCTCCCCATGGGGACAGGAATGAAGAGGAAGAAGGGAAGAGGGACTTGATTTCTTCTGTTCACAAGAGAATGGTTGGAAGGGATTCTTCAGAGTTTTTCAGGGGATGGGACCCAAATGTAGTGCCCAGACTGGTCCTCAATGATTTGTTTGATTTTGTTATAAATCTCTTCCAGTGAGTCACCCTGTACAATGGCTAAAGTGAAGAGGAAAACAAAATTATTACTGTGGTCCACAGCAACCCCCCACCCAACCCAGCAATTCTGCCTTTTCCAACAATCCTACACTCATCCCACAGGCACAACGAACACACTCACAGAAGGGTGGGTTTGGTTTGATTTGCTGGCTGTCTGCTTAGTTTAGGGCAGTAAGGAAAACTCACCAGGTGCTCCAAGTAGAGTACTAGCTGACTAGGTGGTCCAAGGCTAGGACTAGAAGTTGATTCACTGAGAGACAGTGAGACTAACTAGCAATCAATAGGAGAGCATGCTTATTTTTAAAAAAATTATTGACACCCATTACATGCCAGACCTTGCAGTACATGTTGCTCTTGGCCACAAGGTTAGCAGTAAAGCAATGTGGCTAAATGATTTGGAGCATCCTAATTATACAGAGGCAGAGCTGAAAGCCACAATTTCTGACAAAACAATAGCAGTGCTCACATTTTCCTCACATCTGCTCTATAGCAGAGGTTAGCAAAGGAGACAAGATACAGATGCTATCAGTAAAGTGAGCTCCAAAGACTCAACGAACGTACAAGAGTATATTTATGAATTCCTTCCTCGCTAACCTAGCAGCATCACCCATTAAAATGTACTCAGCACCAACCTGCATATGATAGGTGTATATGTCACTGTACTTTAAAAGGTAAGGAAGCCTTCCCGAGTTTTTAGAGCTAAACTTCTAAAGCAGGTGACAATGTAACCACACTCATGTACACACAGGCTTGCTGACAATTTGAACACTACACCAAGGAATTATCATCATCAACAAATGCTTATTCAGCACCTAAAACATGCAAGGCAAACGCTGGATTGGAGGAGTCTGACAGGAGAGACTGGGAGGGAGGAAACAAAGTAATCTAAAGCACTCACAACCTCAACCACTCACAATACTATACAATGGCTATAATGCTATGGCTAGACGGAGAGAACTTGAATCATTTGTAATGGTTTCCATTCCAAACCTCAAAAGGATCCAAAACATTGTACAAGGTACTTAAACCTCTTTGAAATATTTCTAGAAATATGTCTAGCTATTGCCGTGTTACCCATCCCCGCCAACTGGGAAGCAGAGATCCTCACCTGTGAAGTATTCTCCAAATTCTTGTTCCAGTTTCATGGCTTTGTCATACATTTTATTTGCTTGTTCATATGTCTGTCGTCGATTCATTTCCCTGCCAAAGAGTGACACAGATGAAAAGTAGCCCCAAACTAGATTTTTTGTTGATATTAAGATAAAAGATAAATCAAGTCTCCTGAGTGGGGAGGGAGGGGAAAAATGAGGACCTAATGTCGGGGGTTTAAGTGGAGAGAAAATGTTTTGAGAATGATGTACAAATGCGCTTTACACAATTGATGTGTGTATGGATTGTGATCAGAGTTGTATGAGCCTCTAGTAAAATGTTTAAAAAAAATAAAAGCATATACTTAAAAAAAAAAAAAAGAAAATCTGGTTACTTTCTCTGTCAAAGTAGCAGTGGCCCATGGCTCAACTCCTTCCTGACTCCAAACCCCAAGTGAGAATGAATGTATTGGCACACCAAACAGAAGGAGCACCCAGTGATCAAAGCTGGGTTGAAGACTTCCTGAGAGTTCCAAGTGGGTCCCGTCCCACCCACATGTCATTTTATTCTCCATTTCCTTTTCAGGTTCCCATCCTAGCAGAGCATTTCTAAGCCTCAGGAAACACTTACATAAGGGCTTCGATGGACTTGGGCTTGATGAAAATGGCAATGGGGTAAAGTTGTGCTTGCTGCAGTCTCTTGATAGCATTGCCAGAAACATCTAAGATACAGTGCTTGCCCTGAAAAAGCAGAGACTAAATCAGCCCCACCCAATCCCTGTCCACTCATCCCCAAGCAAATATCCACCATGGCATTCCAAACATCTACCAGAGGTGGAGTCCAGGGCCACCCAATTGCCCAGAACAGCAGTTCTCAACCTGTGGGTCGCGATTCCTTTGGGGGTCGAACGACCATTTCACACGGGTTGCCCAATTCATAACAGTAACAAAATTACAGTTATGAAGCAGCAACGAAAATAATTTTATGGTTGGTGTGGGGGGGGGGGCGAGTATCACTGCAATATGAGGAACTGTATTAAAGGGTCGCGGAATTAGGAAGGTTGAGAACTGCTGGCCTAGAAGATCTGACCCCTGAGGTGCCCAGACCCCACATACTGCTCCCACAAGTCAGAAAGGCCACATTTGCCGAAGTTCTCTATTCCTTGATGGACAAAATTCTAGGGTGAACTACATGAAAGAAGTGAACATTCACCAAGGGGCTGGCTTGGCTTTTGTCACCAGTACCACTTAGTCCTGTAGTTAAAAAATGAGGATTCAAGTGGGACTCCAATTGAGCATTTCTCTCTCCCCTTTGAGGTTTACTTGACCCATAAAATTCCAGTCTACTTACTCTCTCTGCAACCGCCCGCACTGACTGGATGCTGGTCCCATAGAGGTTATCATTGAATTGCCCTGCCTCAATGAACTTGTTGTCCTGAATATCCTTCTCCATTTGTTCTCGGGACACTACAAAGTGATAATCTTGTCCATCTACCTCATTATCACGCCGAGGTCGGGTAGTATCTGAAGGAAGAAAGGAAACACTGTGCAGCCCAAGGAGAATGCAGACCAAGTAAAAAAAAAAAAGCTGATTTGTTCCTCTGTGACCTGGGCGGCATGGCCACTCTGATCTTTTTTCAGATGAGTGGGGAGAAAAAGAAGCTAAGGAAAAGTTTGCTTTGCCTACTTCTTTTTCAACCTCTGGGTCCTACACATAAAAGGGCTCTTTGCTTTAGCTTAAACTGGATAAGAAAAAGGAGATTTCCTTAACCAAAGCCTGGCAAAAGGTGCCAAATGTGGTATGGAATTACAAGAACCTAACGAACTATTGATCCAGTCATACCAACATCACTTTGGTTAAGGTTGTACACTTTTCCAATCATACCCACACATATGCCTCTCCAAAGGAATAAGCAACCAAGCCTGATGCCTTAGTCCTCCCAACCACGGCCAGCTTTGCGGGAATCTCTTACTGCCTAACTCCTTCCAAGTTGTTAAATGTGCCCCTTTTCCTAGATAGCCCTACAATCTGATCCCAGGCCCCTTCCATGAAGCCTCAAAGCAACAATTTCCCAACACATCAATGCCGCATTCCCATGTCATCCTGGGCACTTACGTGGCACACAGGATCCAAATTTATGTGGAAATTCAGAGATCAGGTCATCATTGACTCGGTCCTTCATTGGGCCCAGGATGATCACAGGCCTTGCGTAGTGAACTGGAGAGGAAGAACACTGAAACAATGAACAAAGGCTCCTCAACAGTCGGCTGCTCTATTTCAAATGTCTGCCTAGAAAACCCAGGCCCTGGAATCACAGCTCAGATGGAATCGTCATCTCGGTCATGCTCTGATTTTTAACTAGAATTTAAGGGTGGTAGACAGGTCTTAGACAGCTTTTGAGAACATCCTATCTGAGTCAAGTCTGAAATCTGGAACATCTCCCAGTCTGGGCAAGATTGGTGAAGTCGTAATTCTATACCTGCGAATGTGGGCCTGTTTTGAAATCAGGATTTCTTTTATTATGTTAATGAGGACATGACAGAGTATGTTGGGTTCTAAGCACTTCCCAGAAGTTTCTTACAAAGGGGAATAGGACACCAAGACCCTCATAGAGGGGGAGAAGAGACTACTTGAGAGACTTCTACAAGAAGCCAAGGCGTGTCAAGGAATGTCTTGGGTGCTCTGGCCTCCAAAACCATGAGACAATAAATGTCTATTCTTTAAAGCCATCCATTTGTGGTGGTTTTATTATGGTAGCATTAGGAAACTAAGACACTGTCTTAAAAACTTCAGAGTATATCTCTGGATTTACATCAGTAGCTGAGGTGAAAAAGAACAGACTGATGTGAAGGATCAGGACCTTTCTTTTAGCAGTAGCTATGCCCATGATTAGACTTGTCTTCCTAGTAGATATAGCCTGTCCTTTGGAAAGTATACCTGGAGCAAACAAATGTGCAGAGCCCTTCCTAAAATACTGGGATGTAGGAGAAGGAACCCAAGGACTAGATGTGCAGTAAGTCATGCCTTCCTATTCTCCCAGGGTCTTCTCTCTGCTGTCACAGCCAACCACTGTGTTGAGTCCATGACTAGAAGACTAGCATGAAGGCAAGACTTTCAGAAGGGGGCTTACTTTCTTGCCGGGTCACTGGCTCATAGGACAAAATAGAATCCTCTTGCCCTTCTGCAACAAAAAAAGGGAGACATATTAGTACTTTATGATCTGTCTCTTTTGGGTCCTCATCTCCTTAGCTCACCCACACTCCCCTCTGCCAGAACGTAGTCTTGTCAAATGCCACTGACAACTGCCCCATGGTCCTTTTTGCTCTCCCTTTGGTGAGAAAGTACTGCATCTGGAGCAGGGGCCAGTAGTTCTCTCAGCAAAATAGAGCTGAGCCAAGGGACATGGCCCAGAAACCAGAGAGTCTCCACCAAAAACGAATCCTCAGTTTCTCACAAACTATTCTTTTTTTTGCTCTTATATGCTATTTTCTTTATAACATACTTCTTAAACAGGTAGCATTAATAAAAAATCAATTTTTAATAGTATCAGTACATTAGATCACCTTGGCTAATGACACAAAATCTTTTCTAGAATTAGACCCTAATGGTAACTATTTATAACACATATCCTTTTGAAATTACGTATAGTCATACTGATTCTTACCCATATGCAGTCCCTTCAGTTCACACTAGGGTTGATGTTCTAATCTGGAATACAGCTACAAGAATATACGGCTTTCTGTCTTTCTCTGTGGAGTATTCCTTTAACCCTCGTTGCATTTCACTGCCATAAAAATGAGTTTTTATTTGACATCTTAGCCTAACCTGGAATTTCTGCTTCTCTATCTGAGCTAAAATGTCTTACATGTTTCATAATGTGACCCTAATCTATTTATTGGCATCCCTAATTATCATCTAAAGTTACAGATAAATTCACGGTCACAATAATGCCTTTGTCAAGTCTGTTCCTGTCACTCCTACTTGTAATCATTTACTTTAATACGTATCTTATTTATCATGTAAGAACAGACTTCATTTTAAATCTTCCCAGAAGACCACTCTACCTATTCTGAATTTTTATTGCTTTTTTGGACAACTTGCCATATGGGCTTAATATTGTTTATCATTCTCTTGTCTTTTATTGTATATTTATTTTCTTTGCAAATAGAACGTTTCTTTGAGCTCACAAAGATATCATTTTCTTTATCCTTAGGTGAACTCTTTAACGCAAAGCAAGGAAAATGGCCAATGGCCAATAATTAACAGGTTTGAAAAGCTAGTGTAGAATCAGGAACCATTATTTTAAGGAGCAGTCAGCTGTATTTATTTGACCTCTTGTTTTGGTTAAGAATCGAAAGTAAGTTTCAACTGGTCAAGACATCTGATCTCTTCATCTGCAGGTAAGGAAGTCAGAGTATTCATGCAAGTTTCCAAAGCAATATCCCAACTTTACCCTTTAAAGGAGCTACCTATAGTGGAAGAGGCATCCAGAAAGTGGCCTATCAGTGGGCTAAGGTCTCCAGTGCCCTTATGAGAGCGGTGCAACGCCTGCTCTCTGTTCACGGTAGTACTCCATTTGGTCCAGCCATGATGTGCTTTTCGGAAAATAGTGGCTAACCTACTTGATGCTGAGTGCCTGGCGATCCCAAAGTGCTTGCCAGTGGTACTAGGCAAGGCAGTGATAGCTGCATCAAGTCATGAAATGTTTTCCAGAGGACTTCCCCGAGTTTTAAGCTGGGAAAAATTCCATGGTACCACTAAGAGAGAAGCCACTACTCCCACTGTCCACAGGGTTTTAAATTGTAGCTTTATTGTTCTGGTCATGGGATCCCCAAAGGAAAATTTGGCAATTCTCCGATCCTTTAACTCAGTTAAAAGACAAAGATATAGTTGTTGTTTTCAGGGGCCGCTGAGTTGTTGCCAGCTCATGATGACCCCATGTGTACAGTAAAGAACTGGTCCATGGGCGTTTCAAGATGGTGGCCCTGCCGATGCTGCCAGGCCTGTATTCCAAGATAAGCCCTGGATGGGGTTAACCAGTCAAGTGCTTAACTGATGGTGTCACCCAGGGACTCCAAGCCTTATTAACCTAGCCCTCGAAAGGCAAATTCAGGATAATATCCAACAAAAGCTACTCTTTCATACCAGTCTCGGAACAAATATGTAACAGTGGCAGCACCTGTGCCCCACAGTACCCATGGTAGTAATTTGTTCACTGGCAGCTCAACCTTTCCAGGCCTCAGGTATGCTTTTAAGTCAAGCCCTGGATGGAACTCTCTTTTAATCCTCAAAGCCAACCTTATCCCATAAGAAGAAGGAACCCGTCACTGCATTTCCAGGATCTCAAAGTGTACATGGCTAAAAAGAAGCATTGGCCTCTAAACAGAAATGGCAGCTGTGCGGTGTTGAAATGATAATGGCTGGAATAAACGGTGGAGCTATACAAGAGGGTGGAGAATGACACACACTTACTGGAACTGCTTTCGCTGTCACTGGTGTTGGATGTCACTCCCTCTGCAAGCCAACAAAAAAGAGACTCTGATTCAGAACACACCACTGACGATGTCACATGAATCACACAACTCAAATGCTCTAGGCAAGAAGTACTGAACTGCCAACCAAATCAGGCAACAAGAGGTATGCCACATCCAGGCTACCAACTTGGAGGCACAGACAGCTCCAATCTCGAGCCTTTGGCCACTTCATACTTATCCCCGAGAACCTCTCAGCCTGCCAAGTTTCTCCCTATATATTACGAGCTTTGCTTTCTTCAGCCAACACCCGAATCAAAAGAACTGGCTTGGATGGTTTTCAAATTCTATCTCAAAATTCACCTCCCAAGATTAACAATAAGAAAAGGAAAGATAGTAACAGGAGTATAAAGAAGTTCAGAGACCAGGATATCCTTAGAATTTCTGGCCCAGAGAGAACGCCTGAAGGACAGATCCTATAAAGCTTCAGAACTGAGCAATCGATGGCCTGAGCAGCCATCAAGGAATAATGCTTTGGACATTTGGTGGTGGTCAATAGTACTCTTACCACTACTAAGGCAGGCAGGGAGACTTTGGGGGTTGGAGGTGGATTGAAGGGACGCTCATCCATCCACCATAAAACAGACAAGTCAGAACACAGACAACAGAGACACAAGAATACTGAGAGGACTGCCCTCTTTGTTTGAGACCATGGGCATGTGTCCATATCTGAGTGTGGGTGGAGAAAGTACAAGTAGAAGAGCTGGCACTTAGGCACCATAGGGCACAGTGTGGCCAAAGCCCCCCTCCCCTCACATGAAGACAGGTTTATGAAGATGAGACATGGACATATGTATTATGGAGAGAGGCAATGCTTGTTTCAGCCAAGACAATAATATGTCCTAGATTGTGATATGCTGTGGTCCCCCAGCACAGGAAGGACTGGGGTAAGCTGTTAGATATTACTATCTCCAGGGTTATGATCCGAGCAAACTCCTTTACTTTCATACCTTTATTATTCATTGAAGGAGCATATAAGCTGAAAGAACCCACCTAATATGGCTTCTTTTTCTGTGCATCTCTGCACACAGCAAGGACACAAAGACCTTGTCATCTATGTCCCTTCATTCTCTATTCTAGAATTCTTTTCCAGAAGAGAGAGGTCATTAAGAGTTTGTCCACGATAAGGCACTACAGTGATATGATCTGCAAATGTGGAGGCTGTTCTCAGCTCAATTCTTTAGAGATGTTATGTGGAAAGCTGGCTTGTGGCTGTTTGCTCAGGTCCCTGAATCTGCTCGACAATCCCAGATGCAGATTGTCCTCAGAGAGATGGTAGCTGCCGCCATTCCTGAACCTAACCATTGAGTGCAGTGTCACCAGAATAAGCATCCCAACCAGTTGGCACACCAGTTGACAGTCTAGAGATTACAAGATTGGTCACCCCTAGAGTAGCACTTCTTACCCACCTAACTTCTACAGTGAGGCAACATGATAGCTCCCTAACATTTAAGGGTACAAACAGAAAGCACACACATGAGTGAATCTATTTATTTGGGTGCCAAGATTCCAGAAGAAAAGTGTGACATCAGAAACACATGCGGTGCCGTCTTGGTGGTGTAGTGGTGAGCGCAACTGCCTTCCAGAACCACATGCACTTTCTCCATCTGTGATATTGAAAGTTTTCGCAAACACTCCCCTCCCCTCACCCTTCCCCTTCCCACCTAAGCCCCCACCCCCAAGTACTTCCATTCATGACAGAAATACAGTTAATTGTGTGTAACTTTGACTTACTCAGATTCTTTGCTCCATAATAATCGTCACTTAACCCAGGGAAGTCCTGATTTCACAGACAGTAAAGACAGAAAGGGAGGGAATGGGGGAGGGATGGAGGGAGGGAGGGAAGAAAAGAATTGGGGAAAAGAGAGGAAATAGAGGGGGGGGGGAAAGACACGGGAAGGAAGAATACAGAGCCAGGTGAGCATTAGTGACAGAAGTATGAAATACTATGAAGACCTACAACTACAGTGAGGTTAAGAACTTTGCTACAGAAATAACATCCCAGATGAGACAAGATAGCTAGGCATTATGGGGCTCAATTTGCCAGAGGGCCTTACAGTGGACCGCCTTCCTGTGGCAATATATAGCCTATATGCCTACAGGATAGTTCAGTGACAATCCAAGGTTCAAATCACCTGCTTTGACCAAATTTAGCCATGTAGACCCTAGACCTCTCCTTTGCCCTAGAAATCATCATTTTCCCCTGTGCATTCATGAAAGAACAAACATCTGCGTGTGATAGGTAGTCAAGACAATTATTACCATCCCAAGGGACTCTCACCCAATACCGACTCATTTTTACCCCTTGAAAGCTTCATGCAACCTAGGGTGTGGCCTTCAAAGCAGACTGAGTTGTGTAGTCCTCAGGAGGTGAGAGGTCAGTTCAGCTTCTGGAGAACAAGCACACACACACACACCCCACCCCTACACCCCAGCTGGTCCTCTGCGTAGCAAACCCCTTGCTAGGCTGGGAGGGTTTTTTGTTTTTGTTTTTGACTCATCTGGGGAACTGTGGTGGCATCACCTCAGTAACCTCAGACTGTCTCTTACTGCTTGTGATCAGAACTAACCTCATCTGTTGCTCCTTACTGAGTTCACTAGAATTTAATTGGAGACTCAGAATTCCATCTGGCTAAGGGCATCCTTCTATCTACCAGATACCCCCCCAAACAGCAACAGCCTACTTATACCATGATAATGTACCAGCTGGCCTACACAGAAAGTACATTTCCTATCAGAATTTGTCAGTCTCCTGCCAGTCCCAGCAGCACAGCACCCCAAGACCCTTCCTGGTAAGACAGAAGACTCATTGGTAAATGAGAGATGTTCACAATTCACAATAAAACAAAAAATTATTTCACAAGTCCAATCTGATATTTCAAGTTAAGGTCACAGCAGTTAATTTCGGAGGCATGTGGTAGAGTAAGATTTGTCAGCATTAAATTGGTTCTTATAGTTTAAGCTCAATAGTAATGCTCTTTTCCACCAACTGTGTTTTGGGCTTCTCCATCAATCTCTATGTGGACACTTTCACAAGCCCTTTTCCATGTCAATTCATGTAAGTGGGAAAGATTTTATTTTGGGGGGGAAAAGGGCTTTTCAATCACTCAAGGACGAGAGTAAGTTTGTTAAAAATTGTGCAAATATCATGTGCGCTCATCCACATGCAAGTAATTTAAGAAGTATCCCCAACTTTAGGCGTCCAGGGGAAAAAAGGCTCTTCTCTTGACACAGATGAGTGAAATTAAGGGAAAGAAAACACAAGAGGAAGAAGCCAGGAGAGCAACACTGAGTCCTTAGCTATTGTTCTCTTGCAAAACCATTTTTTGAAATATGATCATCTGAAAACTGTTCATCACCATAAGAGGAGCACTCAGTCTGGCCCCTCCAATCCCAGTATCAGGGACTTCCTGGTGGGCTGGCCCCGGAACCAGTTCTACCTTGGAGGCTCCAACATTCATTTTGAGTGAGGATCCAGAGAGATGAGACCCAAGATCTCCCCAGGCAAACCAATTTCTACCCTGACTTTGTGCAAACAGGTACACACGCATGGACACGTGGACACACACATGCACACACGCACACACACACTTTGCCAGTCTTCTCATAAGGGAAGGTGCAAATGAGGAAGAGAGGACAGGGCGGTGGATGGTCTGTTCTCTGTACTCTGCAACTACTTACGTTCCTGTATGCTGCTCTCCTGGGCCATGTTTTCTTTGCTCTTGTAAAATGGAAACTTTCGAGAGAGGCGGAAACTCTTTTTACGTTTCGTTTTGATCGACTGTGAAAGAACATGAAGATGGAGGGGGAAGGACAGGAGAAAACAAAACAAAACAAAACAAAACAGAACAATGGATTTTAAAGCATGCAAGAAAACTAAAATGGAGACAATGGTGAGCTAAATAAAAGACCATCGCTCACAAATGGAGGCTATGAGATTAAATGGATGTTGATGCAAGAGGAAAATTATGTTTACAGAAAAATGTTGTAGGGATGTAGAGGTTGCTACCTAATTCAGACTCACAGCACTCACTGGTACTTCCTAAAGAACAAAAGTCACTGTAGCCTCCTGGACATATGCCCTAAGGTGCCACTGGCATACACAGAGTCATCTACTTCATGTGTATCTTCCCTCTACTGCTCCAGAAGTCCTTTGGCCTGCAAAGCTTATAGAAGAAAAGGGGTGAATGGAGAGAAACCTCATGCCTCACTTGTTCTGAAAGTAGGTTGGAGCTCTGGGGCTGGCCTTCCTGGCCACATGATCAGGCCAGGTTACAACCAAGGTCCCCATAGCTCCAACAGGTGTCTGCAACCAGACACTCACAAGCAGTTGCATTTAACCCAAGCAAGTCAGTCTTCCAAACAGTCCAACTCCAAGATACCTTCAAGAGCTGGCTGGCTACCCACGTGGAAGGAATACAGACTAGCTATGGACTTTAAAGTACTCCCACTCTGCTTTCTGAAAAGCAGACAGTATTCGGATAGGACAGAGCCAGCCCCTTGTAAAGGAGCTGTATTTGCTCCCCAATATTGGTATACATCAGCCAGAGCGGCATGGTTCTTATCCCTCTTCACATATTGACTATTCTCACTTACCCTGTTAGACTCAATCATCCCCGTCCTGGCATGGAACTTCACCGTTTTCAATCGAGCTCTTTCTTTCTTTTCCACCCTGTTGTGGAGTCAGAAAGAAGTCCTGTTATTGGTCTCAGCAGTGGGCTGTGATGGGCACAGTAACGCTTTTTGATTAATTTTGCCAAAACTATGGCCTGAACACCAACTCTCTACCAAGGCACATGTCCTTGCTCTTAAGAAACTCATAGTTTGATATGAAACAAAGAAAGTAAACTACCCAGAAGTAGGGGGGGCCAGGGAGGGTCTCTCTTATAATCATAACAACTCACCTCTTCTTACTGGGGATCACACCTATTTGCTCACTTTCTCCATGTGGGGTCACCAGTCTTGCCTGCCACCACTCATCATCAGAAGCGTTAATGACATGTAGAATGTCTCCATAAGAAAAGCTGAGCCCCTGGCTTGGCAGGCAGCTGTCCCGAGTCCGGTCATAATCAAACAGGGCCCTGAAACATAGGGTGAAAAATGAAGTGATTGCCCCAACCCTAAATGCCAAGAAACCCGCCCTCAGAATCTGAAGGTGGGAGAGAAAAGCCAGTCCAGTTAGTACCAGACACAACAGCCTAACAGCAGCCAAAAGGATGTTTTAGAAGATTGTATCCTCCTTTCAGTTACAAAGTTGTAAAAATCCCACCCCCCTCCAACCACCAGGGCATTTCCAAAAACAAAAACACTCCGGTCTCTCAACAAAGGGACATAGGGAGATCTGCTGAGTCCCATCTCCTCCCTCCCTTCTGGGCATAAAGCAGATATCCAAAGTAGAGCATACATGATCAACTTCTCCCTCACCCACATCTTACGTTAAGTGTGGTGGAAGCTATATCGTCCAGGCTGTCAGCAGCAGGCATAGAAAATGAGGTTGGAAGTAAAGGCCTGAGGCAAATTTTGGAAGGTCTTGAATAGACCTGATTCAGTGGTCACCAGAGATTCTAGAGATATACGGTAGAACTATCATGACCACATATACACAATGCAAATAAGGAGGGGATAGGGTGAAGGTGAATTTGGAGGCATATTTAAACCAATGTTTTCTAAGCTTATTCCCTCAGGATATATTTTGATTCTGGCTCAGGTGAAGCCAATGCTTGACCACCTGAGTTCCCTCCCTGCTCAGGGAACAAGTTTATCTGTATACATTTTTAAAAATATACATACCTCAAGGAATCTTGTATGTGTAGTTATCACCAATGGGTGATTTCAATGAGAAGTCTGTGTTTTTTTCCAAAAAATTATTTTATTAGGGGTTCTTATAGCTCTTATTATAATCCATACTTACATCCATTGTGTCAAGCACATTTGTACATACTGTATATACTCATGCATAAGCCAAGTTTTTCCTGCACATTTTTAATACAGTTTTTGCGGTAAAATTAGGTGCCTGAAATAAAGGCATGTACATATTTAAATATATTTATATGTGAGAATGGGGAAATAGATCTATGTGCATGTATTTATAGGTTTAGTGTTAATGTAGCAGATGGACATTGGGCCTCCACTCAAGTACTCCCTCAATACAAGAATACTTTGCTTTGTTCTATTAAACTGGCATTGCATGATGCTCACCTTCCCGACACGATTGCTGAAGACAAAGTGGGTGCATAAGCAAATACAGTGAAGAAAGCTGATGGTGCTCGGCTATCAAAAGATATAGCATCTGGGGTCTTAAAGGCTTGAAGGTAAACAAGTGGCCATCTAGTTGAGAAGCAACAAAGCCCACATGGAAAAAGCACACCAGCCTGTGTGATCACAAGGTGTTGAAGGGATCAGGTGTCAGGCATCAAAGAACAAAAAATCAAATCACTGTGAATGAGGGGGAGTACAGATTGGGGACCCAAGACCCATCTGTTGGCAACTGGACCTCCCCTTACAGAAGGATCGTGGGGAGGAGATGAGCCAGTCAGGGTGCAGGGTAGCAATGATGAAACATACAACTTTCCTCTAGTTCCTAAATGCTTCCTCCCCCACCACTATCATGATTCCAATTCTACCTTACAAATCTGGCTAGACCAGAGGATGGACACTGGTACAGATAGGAACTGGAAACACAGGGAATCCAGGACAGATGATCCCATCAGGACCAGTGGTGAGGGTGGTGATACTGGGAGGGTGGAGTGAGGGTGGGGTGGAGAGGGGGAACTGATTACAAGGATCCACATATAACCTCCTCCCTGGGAAATGGACAGCAGAAAAGTGGTTGAAGGGAGATGTTGGACAGTGTAAAATATGACAAAATAAGTATAATTCACACATTATCAATGGTTCATGAGGGAGAGGGGAGAGGGGAGGGAGGGGGAAAATGAGGAGCTGATACCAAGGGCTCAAGCAGAAAGCAAATGTTTTGGGAATGATGATGGCAACAAATGTACAAATGTGCTTGAAACAATGTCTGGATGGATGGATTGTGATAAGAGTTGTACAAGCCCCCAATAAAATGATTTATTAAAAAATTACGTGCCTCAGCTGATATTTGGGTCGGCTTATACTCAAGTATATACATTAAGTTAAATCTGCTTCTGAAAGGTCACAGTCTCGAAACCCTTCGGAGTGGTTCTCCTCCGCACAAGTGAGGTCGCCAGGAGTTACAGCTCAACTTGAAGGGAACTACAACACTACAAGCTAAGGACAGGCAGTTCAAAGTCAACAAGAATGACAGTAGTTACTGCTGCGAATTGGGAATGGTTATGATTGTTTTTTAACCATGAATATATGTTACTTTCACAATTAAATGGGGGGGAAAAGCCAGTGAGTTACAAAGAAAATGGGAAATAAGATATATAAAGGACCTGGCTTGAGTTAATTCCTTTAGATGGGGTATATATTTGGCTTTAAACCCTTTGGCAAATAAAGCAACCAAAAAAAAAGGTAAATTGTATAAATTCAACTGCCCAGCAAAATGTCGTACCCAACTTTTTTTGAATTTTGTTTGATGAACATAGAAATGAAGAATTAATGACGAATACTGAATAACAGAATGGAAATAACCTTTTTCAGCTAGGATTTTGTTAAAGACAAGTATAATATTTGAACTTGAAATTCAGAACCATAATTCCAACTGATGATACACTATGAAATAAAAGACAATGGGCGAATGCATTTAGTAAACTTACCCAGATGCTCTGTGCCATCAAGTCAACTCCCACTTATAGTAGCCCTATAGAACCCAGTAAAATTGCCCTATAGGTTTCCAGGCTATAACCTTTTAAGAACAGATCACCAGTCCTTTCTCCTGCAAAGCAGTGAGTTTGAACAGTTTACTTTTCAGTTAGCAGCTGAACACTCAATGACTGTGCCATAAGAGATCTTACGTTACCAGGTGTGGGAATAGATCATATTATTTTTAATTAGGACTCTAAAAACTGAAGTAACAAAAGTTGACTTTGCATTTGAACTCTAAGTGGGTAAAGAGCCTTGCAGAACATTTCAGAACAAAGGAGTTCTAAAGGTCACCTCACCTAACTGCTTATCTAATAAAGGAAATTCTTTAGATAGTCTGGAAACTTCTTTCCAGGTCAAGCAGGACTGGGTCTTTCCTAGGTCTTCTCTACCAGGTTATACTTTAACCCTGCCTTCCTTTGTCATGATTCTGATTTGTTTTCCTCTATTTTGTCTCTTTTGCTGCTGAAATTGTTTGACTAAGAACTAGAAAACTCTTTTGCAGATAATGAAAACTAGGTCCTGAGATGAAAAAGATCTAGTCAAGGGTTTCATGGTGGGCAGCTCTCAGACCAGGGCTCTTACATCTCACAAAAATTTAATGTGGTCTAAGTCAAAGTCAAGGACTTCAAGAAATGTGTCCCTTGAACACACAAGGAAATTAGGAATTTGCCATAAGAGATAAGAACACCAGATGTGCAAAGTGACATCAGACTCAACAAAACTATTTAGACCAAAGGAATCAGGAATGTCCCATTCTGTATCTGTATACTTTCGTAAAAAAACAACAACCCCATAATTATGATGAAGATTTACCAGATAAACTCTATACATTCATAACCTATGTACTTGTCACCATTTTAAAAAACCTACACAGTTTCATCTTTAACCCATTTTAAAGTTGTTTCAAGTTTAAAAGAAAAAAACTTTGAGGGAGAAATACACATGGATTAAGCCTCCGGTGAGTGCCCTCTGACCATAGACCAGGGATGTGAATAGCCCTGATACCAAGCAGAGTGCATTGAAAACTGGATTATTTCAGATGCAGTTAGGTTAAAATTTAACACCTTATCATTTTATCTCCCTTTTACCCATTTAAAATTTGTCATAGTTTTTAATATTTCTGCTTTCTTTTCAATTGAGGATTTTCTGTTTTACTTTGTTATTGTTGTTAGGGTTCTTATTTTTGTTGTTGTTTTCTTTTCTTTAAAAATTTTTTTTTGTGTATAAGAAATCCAAGATAGGTAAATCTATAGAGACAGTCACTGGATTAATGGTTCCTTGGGCATGGCTGGGGGGAGGGGACTGAGACGGAGGAGGATGGGGAGCTAATAACTATGAATACAAGAAAGAAGGAAACATTCTAAAATGGACTGTGTGGATGATTATACTACTCTTCTTAGTATGATTGAACTATTGAATTATATGGTTTGTAAATT